GAAGATTCCACTCTCTCCTCACAGAGAGGTGACTCAGTGCCTTATCACACACTCTCTTCAAAAATAAATTAAACAAAACAGGTTTAAGAATAGCAGCAAGAAGGGTTTGTGTATTATGGCCACTCCAAGCTCCAGCTGGATACACAGAGCATCGTTCTACTTTATTCCAGGAAAGCCAGGGAAAGATGTTCTTCCCAATGCTCTCCAGGGCTGAGGAAGAAAATAAAACTCTGAATACTCTCATTTGGTCACTAGAGCAGGAGAAGGGAGGCAGAGAGAGGAGAGGGGAGGAGAGAGAAGGGCCAGTCAGCTGCCCGTCTGATTCCAGCACTGCAATCCTATGACCCTTAACTGCATATTTCAGGATTGGTGTCCCAGGCAAAGAGGAGAGGGGAGGAAGGCTGGGAGAACTCAGGCCACGGTGCTAATTCCTTTCCTGCACAAAGACAGTCTCTTGAGGACACAGGCCTGCCTCCTGTAACGTGATCTCATAGTCCAGGTGGGAGAGTCTCCTCCGGGGGAAGTTGGTGAGCAGTTCGAAGCGCTCGTTGGGGTACCCTTTGGACTGCACGTGTTTCACCAGGGCCTAGGGGAGAGACAGGCAAAGAGGTGACACAGAACTCAACACAACAGGGTGCAGAAAAATCCCACTTCCCTTGAGAAGGCTGCAATCACAACTAAACTTGGAAATTCGGCTGTTTTGCATAGAGCACAGACCCTCTTTGACCTCAGGACCTGATCTGGCCCAAACGTGGGGAGAGGGATCCTCCAGACTCCGATGGCAAGTGATCCCTTACCCAACTGATTCTTCACACAAATAGTAAACTCTACATAAAGCTACACATAACAGTACTTTAATTCAAGACGGCTGCATTCCACATCCTGCAGTGGATTCCTGCAGCAACAGGACAAGGAGCAATGGGGATAAATTGAAAGAGGGAAGTTTAGATTAGCTATTGGGAAGAGGTTTTTTCCTCTGAGGGTGGTGAGACACTGGCACAGGTTACCCAGGGAGGTAGTAGCAGCATATAAAGACGCCACTCTTGATCAATAATTAGACAGTGATTAAATGCAAAGCCTTTTAAAAGCAGCAGTGCTGGGGGTGTCACCAGTTAACACTCTTAAAGTGCAAATGTCTCCTTAAACAA